CCCCCCCTTCCCTCTCAAGGTTTCATCATCTTCTTCCTTCTCTTTCTTTCCCTTCCTCCTTTTTCGAAAAAAAAAAAAAGTACGTGCCGATCTTTTTCTATAAAAAGATACGAAACTTCCCCAACTGCTCCGATTCCTCCCTCCTCTGTCCCGCCTGTGAACGCTTTCTTTCTCCAACCAACCCGCCTGTCCGTACTTTCGTCATCCCACTTTCCCGCCACTCCCGCTACAGATCGACCAAAAACTTTGCGCTCTAGGCGACGATTGAAATTTGAAAGAAGAGAAGAGAGAAGAAAACACACACACACATACACACACACAAACCCACACGTACACACACGGGGGACCGCTCTCTTCATACTCTCATCCACATCTACACAATCCCATCACCCCAGCAAACTTTGTCGTGCGAAATATGAAGTACGGCGAACAGCTGGAAAACGAGTCTGTCCCAGAATGGGGTCTCCGTAAGTCTCTTCACCTACCTTCACCCTCTCTCCATCGACAAGACAAAAACGTCATCTCGCATACTTTTTTTTTTTGGGCGTGCGCGCGCGTGGCCGATCGACAAAGTATTCGATCCCACCCCCAGTCTGGGCCATCCACCATCACGACGGTACCTGCTGATACGACCGTCATCTTCCGTGTCTGGCTGACACTGTACGTTGTCAACTACAGATAACCTCGACTACAACTCTCTCAAGCATGAGATCAAGGTCCACACCACGAGACACCAGGCTACCGCCATGGCCATCCCCGGAAACGAGGACACGGCTCTGCGCAAGTTTGAAGACGGCCTCTTCCTAGAACTCTGCCGCCAGCATGAGCGTGTTCACCTCTTTGTCACCAGCAAGGCTGACGAAATCTCCCGTCGGCTGGGTATGCCTTCTCCTCTCTCTCTCTCTCGCTCTTTCTGGAATGGACACCTCTGACCCCTCAACAGACGCCCTCTCCCGCTCCGTTGATCGCTGGATCACAAAATTCAACACCACCCCCGACCAATCCGTCAGCGATGTCCTCCGTCGCCAGAGGCGCTTTGCCAAGCACGAGCGCGAGCTGTACCGTGTAGGAGACGATGCCCACGCCCTCGTCCGCTTCGCCAATGCTCAGGTCGTGGCCTTTCGCAAGATCATCAAGAAGTACAAGGTAAGGCTGCATTCTACACCTGAACGGCTCGGATCTCACACACCTCCCCTCCTCTCTTGCCGTCGTCGCCACCCAGGCTCCCACAATGCCAGACTCCTCTGACTCGCTTGGCTTCGCAGAAATGGACCGGTTCCACCACTCTCGGTACCCGCTTCACCGATGACATCCTCAGCGACCCCAAGAGCTTCAACCGCAACGACTACACCCACCTCGAGCGCCGCGGACAGGAGCTCCTCGACCGCCTGCGCGACGCAAACCCCCACCTCCTCAGCGACGACGCCAGCTCCTCCTCGCTCGCCAGCCGCCCGGGCGACAGCAATGGCCGCGCCCACCTCAAACCCCACGACCCGGCCACCTCCCCTCGCCAGACCATGTCGCGCCTCCCGGCCGGCACCCCGCAGATGCAGACCCCGCAGGTCAGGTACTGGAACGAGTACGACAACGGCAGCGATGCCGGCGACGGCGACTTCCGCCGCGGCGGCGGCTGTGGCCGTGGCGTCGGTGGGAGCGGCCGGGACGACGACAGCAGCGACGGCTACCACATCTACGTCGACCCCAACGCCGACGACGCCATCCTCCCCGGCCTAGCATACATCCGGGCGGCCCTGGCCCCCCCGGTGCAGTCGGTACGTCACTGGCTCTCCCGCCTCGGCGGCGGCCACCGCGGTCACGGCGACGGCGACCTTGGCCCGGAGCGCCGACCCCTCCTCGCCGGCCGCGACGGGCGCGACCGCGTCAACCCGGCGTCCACCGTGCTCGATTCGGAGGAGGACGGCTACTCGAGCTCGGACCTGGTGTTCCCCGCCCGCTCAGCCGTCGCGGCCGGCTACTCGGCCCACTACGCCCTCCCCAGCATCTCGGACCAGCGCGTCGCGCGCTACAGGGAGCGCGTCCTCGTCCTCACCGCGGCCGGCTGCTACGCCACGTCCTTCGTCCTCCTGGCCATCTCGGCCGTCCTCATCTCCACTGCCCGCCACAAGATGCGCGTAGAGGTCGACGCCGTCGTCACCATCGCCGTCGCCATCAGCCTCCTCTGCGCCGCCTCCGCCCTGGGCGCCACCCTACACAGGCAGGATGTCTTGCCAGTCTCTCACAGGCTGATGAATGCCTCTGCTTTCTCTGCCGCCTGTCTTCTCAATGCCATGTTGCTCATTCTCGTCGTGGGGAATACTCCCTAGCTTTTCTTCTTCTTTTTCTCTCCTCTACCCTTTTTTTTCTCTCTTCCCCCCCGCCCTCCTTTTCTTCGTTTTCCATGTTATCATTGTTCATATTTGCATTAGCGCTTGATATCCAGCCTTGTTGATCTTCTTTTCTTCTTTCTTCAAATCTTTTCTTCTTACATCCCTGTTCCCAAAACTCGGTACAACCCATTTGGACTTGTTCGGTCATGTTGATAATTTTTCAGCTTTAGAGTACACGTATATATACTATAGGGAATCATGCCCAGAATCTTTACAGCATACAGTATCTCTTTTTTTCTTTTACATGACATGACTATCAAGTAGCATTATTCAATTATTCTTTTTTTTTTTAATTGTGGAAATCATTTCGCTATCATACCCAACGTCATGTGTCTTTTTCATGTTTCCCCCAATGTCAACTTTTATAGTAGTAGAAAACCCAAGCAATGACAATTTTAGTACACACAAGGATGCAAACCCAATCATGACTTTGACAGAAATGTGAAATCCAACATGGATCCTTCTTCATCCTTTGTCGCTAGGAAAGATTCGATCCTCATGACGAGTTGACCTGTATTATCAGGTCAGCATACCAGGACTGAAGATGGAGTGGACAGGAAATAACAAGATGAGAGGAAAGCGGGCAAAAGAGGAGAAGAGAAAGAAAGAAAGAAAAGAAGAAGAAAATTACCGGCAACACCCCATCGTTTGGCAAAAAAGTGGAGGGAGCTATAGATGTCGTGAAACCTCGCATCCGCATCCACCACGACGTGCTCAAAGTTGCTCAGAGCTGCCAGAGAGTGGTATGCGGAAAAGGGCGTGACGGGGGAGCACCGCGCTAGGAGACCGTGCGAGTTGCGGGCCAGGTGGGCGTTTAGGTCGGCTGTGGTGTCGGCGATGATGCGGATGGTGAAGTTGATGCCGGCGATGGCCTTGGATATCTCAATGTTGGACGACGTCTTCTGGATTCGCGAGGCGTCGATGGCGCAGAGGTAGCTGCAGTAGAGGAGGAGGAGGAGACTGATGGCCAGGGTGTTAGCATGTACACGCACCGAGTGTAGACAGGTACGAACCCACCATGTACACGTGGCAAAACATTCGTAATACTCTCCCCACGGAGAGGCCTGAGCAACCATGGCTTGCACCAACGCTCGTGTAGAGATGTCGAGCTCGGCAAACGAGTCGACGCTCGGTGGCCGTCCTGCATAGTACGTCTCCGTCTCCCAGGTGAGGGCTCTGGTGAAGAGGATGGCGCACTGGCAGTTGCGCTGGAAGGCGCCCAGGGGCACCGAGGCCGAGACGTTGGCCGGGTGGTGCTGGATCGTCTTGACGGCGTTGCCCGCCTGGTCGTAGACGATGTTTGTGGTGGGGAGGAGGTCGTCCTCGCGCGGCGAGGGTACATGAAAGGGCTTCCACATGAGGCGGCGCTCGACACGGATCAGGCGGTCGACTATGAGCAGGGTCCAGTACAGGTCGCGGCGCTCGTCCTCTTCCTCCGATACAACGGCTTGGGCGGCCTCGTGGGCGGCGGAGGGAGAGGAGTAGTACATGTACCTCCCAGGACGGACGTCGGCCGACTTGGCAGACGTGTATGCGTCACCGATGGTGACGTAGGCGCGCATAAAGGCACCGTGGCCAAACTCGAAGAGGCACAGGAGCGCCGAGGCCTGCAAGAGGGGGATGCTGGGGTCGGTGACGGCGCGGACCAGCCCCAGGACGCGCTTGGCGACTAGGTAGATGGGGTTGGACAGCATCTCGGTGCCGTCCGGCATGGTGGGGCGGCCCGAGTCGGCAAACTGGGTGACGAGGTGCATGCAGACGATGAGCATGGCCGTCTCGACGCGGCGCGGACAGCCGTTGGCGTCAAGGTCGCTGAGGGTACGCAGGAAGCGGTCCTGGTGGACGGCACAGAGCCATAGGTTGGTGGTCTGGAAGTAGAGCGCGACCGAGTCGCGCCACGAGATGCCCCTCGACGTCAAGAGATTCATGAGCATGGCGGGCGGCACGTCGAGGTCGGGCTCGAAGATGCTGTAGCGGGCGGCGGCGATGACCTGGGGGTCGTTTGGGCTACCGGACGAGCCGTAGGTGGCGGGGTCTACGACGGTCGTGGTCGGACCGGTCATGACATAGTCGTAGCAGCATGGGGCGTCGAGCCTGGATGGTTAGGGAGCAGAGGCTGATCAGAGACTGGGGCTGTGCCGAGACTGGAGAGAGAGAGAGAGAGAGAGAGAGAGAGAGAGAGAGATGGTCTGATGCCGAGTCGAGAGTGATCCAAGGCCACATCAGGACCCGAGGCCACAAGGGCGAGAGGAGGACGGGTCGTACCTTGAACATCGCGAACAGGCAGGGATTGCCTTGTCGCACTTCTTCTTTGTCCTAGTGCATTTTTCGCAGGCTCGATGGGCTCGCTCGACGGGGTCTTCCATGGGTGAGTCGGTACCTCGAGGAGATTTGGAGGGTTGGGACACGGCAGTAAGCATTCTGCGCTGATGTCTCCGAGGCGGGGTTCCCTCCTCGTGCCTTTGTATGTGGTGTGGTGATTTGCGATCCGGGGCAAGATGTATGATGCATAGAGCGGTGGTGCACCTACTCGGGTTCAAGGTCTTGTGGTGCCGGGCCGGCGTGAGAACGTCGAGTTCCCAGCGCCCCGTCTCTGCGGCAAGGCATGGACCACCAGGCTCCTTCTGTCGTCGTCCCGCCTCTTGTTCCTGGGCCGTCGTGGTGGCGGTCGCGTGTGCGTCGAATGGGGCTGGGGCTGGGGTTGCAGGTGGTGGTGGTGGCTCGTGGTGGATGTGACAGCCCTACGAACAGTATTACGGAGTACAGATAGAGTAGAGGTGCGGGAAAAAAAAGAAAAGAAAAAAGAAAAGCCTCCCACCTGCCCAAAACGAACAAGGTTCAAGGATCCGGGGACGGCCGATACGCGGGATGGCGCGCCAGGGACGTGGATGTCAGCTCCTCCGTAAATGACACCCCTCCTGTCTTTGTGTGAATGTGGAAGACGAAGGATTGAAAGGAAGCCGAGAGAAGGAGGAGAGACGATGCCGTCGGCTCAGTCACTCCATGAGACAGAGAAAGGGAGACAGAGAGAGAAGGCAGGAACGAGCGTTGTAGCAGGCAGGAGCAGCCCAAGACGATGGATTGGAAAAAGGGGAGGGGGGATGACGGGAGCGATGGAATAATAATAAAATGAATATGGCAGGTGTAGGGGGGTGGGGGCTAGGCCAGCATCATAATGCTTGGAGGCTGAGCTGGCTGGACTGGATAGCAAGGCGTTTCTGTACAGTCGGATTGGGTGGTGATATCATGTGCGGCCTGTCACTTTATATATTCTTCAAATAGATCCCAAAAGGAAAATGGTCAATCTTGGGAGGAGGAGTATGAGGACGAGATAGCCGGGGGGGGGGGCCAAGTCTCTGGAGAGTAATCATACTCGTTTTGGCTGCTATTACAGCGTGCAATACTCGTGGTGAGGAGATGCGGGGTGAAGGTCCTTGTACGGCCCGCTTACAGGTAAATGTTTGCATGCGATTATTATATATGACTCGTATCAAAGCACATCGAGAACCAGAGGTAAGCTTATACAGGCGAAGATTTCAAGACATAATAGGTTTATATTCATATAGGCTGACTCTCTAACGAAATGGCGTGGCGTGGCACGGCATGGCATGATGGCGGTCTAACCCCCGCTGGACCCCTAGTCTGAGGTCTCTGAAGATGATGCGTGTCCCTATCCATCTGGTATAGTCTGACGATACTTGCTGTAGTACTACCCGTCATGCAGCATGCTGCTGTCTCTGCGTTAGGATACATGTCAGCTCTCCCTCCTTCTCCTCCCCCCTCCTGATCCCCGGTCGGCAGATGCCAGAGGGTGCAGAAGACCCTGTCGTCATTCGGCATTCCCGTCAGCACATGCAACCTGCATCGGCGACGCCGCCACGACAGTGGGAGGACGGCAACGTCTTTGGAGTCGTCTTTCTTCCTCTCTCTTCCTCTTTCCTCCCTCTCTCCTATCCTCTCCTTCTCCTCGAGTGCTTACGCCTCTTCTCTCTCAACACCGTGGCAAGCAAGGATGCACAGCTTCAGCTGTTTTGAGATGGATGACAGACAGACAGCACTCGTACGGCAAGACGCAGGGAAGGCTCTGACGGTCTCGGCCTGACCCTTGGCTAGAGTCTAGCAGTACAGTATAAGACTTGGGGGTAAAATCATCATGCACGCTACACCGTTCTACTGCTGCACACTATCGCGACGGACATGATGCTACTTGCTACAACAAACTGCGAGCCCAATGCATCGGAGCTATGCATCTCGGTCACATTACCTATGCAGCAGCAGCAGCCGCCGCCGCCGCCGCCGCCAAGTCTATCGGTCTGCATATAGCCGCTGTAAGTCATAATGTATCTACAGGCGATGCATCCAGGTAGATGGCCTGCACGGTCCCTCCCTGTATGAGTATAGTATTATCGTCGCCAGCCAGATGATAAGATACACACCCCTCCTACTCACATCTCACCCACATTTAGTCATTGGTCAGCCTTCCCCGCAGCGTAAGGCACAAATAACAACGACAACGACAACAACAACAACGACGACGATGACAAGTAATATATGACTTTTTCGACCGAGTCTCACCAGGCTTCGCTACACCTATATACATGCATTGTCCTACCATCCACCACAACAGATCGAAACGATAGCCAAAGGTAGGGAAATCGTCCAAAATGTCTACCCAGACATACCACGTCCGTCCCGGCCGCCTCTCCGACATACCAAAGCTCATGCCCATCTTCACCACCACCATCGCCCGCGACCAGCTCTTCACCATCCTCTTTCCCCTCAAGAACAGCCATGGCGATTCAGGCCCGGAAGTCGACATCGACGCCATGAAAACGTACATGAACCGCGTCTTCGCTCTCCGCTACTGGTCCCCAAACTTTCGTCTCTCCGTCGCTTTTAGCGTCGATGACGTCGAGTGTGCTACTCCCCTGGCATTCTCATGGTGGAAATTGCCTGACTCCCAGCTGAGTCTTTACGAGAGATGGCTATCACCATGTATGTTCCGGCCCCCCCCCCCCCCCCCCTTTTTTTTTTTTTTTTGCCCTTTTTCTTCTTCTTCTTCTTCTTCTTCTTTCCCTCCGGAGGCCCTGCCGGGGGCCCTTCTCGCTACGCTCGCACTCTCACTTTAATCATATATTCCGTCTCGTCACCTTGTCTCTCAACTAAAAGAGAGGGGGAAAAAAAAAAACTGACCAGACAGCATCCTGGCTCTCCTTCATCGTCCGCACCCTCCTCTCCCTGAGACACCGCCTCATCCCGATAGACGGCATAAACCCCACCGCATCAACCATGTTCAGCCGCTTCATCGAGAGAGAGATTGAACCCGCCATCTTTACACCTCCCACCACCGATTCCAAGTCCAGGTCCATGTCCACGTCCACGCCGTCCTCTCAAGATGAGAATGATGAAGATGAGGTTAAAGTTGGAAATGGAAATGGAAATGAGAACGAGCATGCTAGAGAGGATGCGGAAGAGGAAAAGAGATATGCCCGCCGCCGCCAAGCCTTCTACCTCAACACCCTGGCCGTCCTTCCCTCCCTCCAGGGCACAGGGCTGGGCAGCTTCCTCCTGCGCCACGGCCTTCGCGCCGTCGACGACCGCGGCGCCGCCGCCTGGCTCATCGCCCTCGCCGGCGTCGAGCCCTTCTACCGGAGGCAGGGGTTCGTCGAGGTCGGCAGGGCCAATGTCGGCGAGATGTCTGGCTGGCGCGGGGGGGCCATCATGTTTAGGGAGTAGTCAGTCTGTCACTCTCCACTGCCGCTGTTTACACGTATACTATATACTCGTAGCCGACTTCATGTACGAGCCGTATAACAATCATACCTACGTCCGGTCGCATCAATAATTGGTAATGAACATTGTAGGATAGAATTAATGGTTGCCCTCCTTTTCCATGTATCCACGTCGTCTGCCATGCAATATCTCCACCATCTTACTTCCATCATTCAGAAATCCTTCGGTTTATAACGGAAAAGGATCGTCGCACGATGAAACTGAAACACAAAGAAAAAGCAAAAAAAAAAAAAACCTCTTCTAATTCCCCCTCCCCCCCTTTTCCATTCCACAAGCCCTCGAGCAAATGAGTAACTCCGGTATAGACAAATGTTCTGGTATACAAAAAAAACAAGACTACCTAGTAGCAAGTGGGCGGGAAAAAAAAAAAGGAGACTGTACCCGCTATAACAAATGACAAAATTTGAATGGAAAGCAACATCGATATTTCTTCTTCCCAACAAAAGGAAGGGGGAGAAGAGAAGAAAATTCACCTCCTAGCCTCAGGGATAGCAGACAAGACAGTCTCACCGGCCAACCTAGGTGGCGGAAGGTGCACCCTTGGCGAGGCCGCAGACCTGGCAGCACCTGGGAACAGGGGGGTCTTAAAGGATGATCCCCCCGGGGGGGACAGAGGTGGGGGGGGGTCGGCATGCTGCTGCTGATGCCAGTAAGGCCCCTCGGCCGGCAAACGGCTGACGATGGGCGGGAGGTAGCGTCCGGGGCTGGGACTCTCGCTGGCAGAGCTGTATCCCGAAGAGGATCGCATGCGGGCCAGGGGGGGAGGTGGAGCCGCAGACCTGTGCAGGTCGTTGAAGGGGAGCCTAGGCACCGAAGTCTCCCTGGGCGTCGCGTGGTGCTGATCTTGGTGGTGGTACACGTGTGCGGACGGGGCTCTCCAGGCGTGCTCGTCCCCGCCGCCGAGGACGTAGTGGCCGCCGCCGCTGCCGGTCCGGTACTGCGGCTGGTAGCTCTGGTGCTCGGGGTACACCATGGTGGAGTGGGGGGTGTAGGCCTCGTCGGCCGTCATGCGGGGACGCTTGTCCGAGGCGGCCATGCTGTCCGAGGACTTGCGCTTGTTGTACTTGCGCGTCGTGGTGGCGCCGCTGGCCGACCTGGCGGACGAGGAGCGGTTCCTGCCGGTGCTTCCCGGGCCGGCGCCGCCTCCGGGGACTTCGAGTGACTCGTCAAAGATCTCGGGGAGGAACTCGATGTCCGGGATGGCGTCGAGGGCCTCGGCCACGAGCTCGTCCTTGAGACGCTCCACGATGGACAGAATCTGGCCGGTCGTGTAGCCGTTTCCGACGCTCTGCCTGATCCACTGGGGGGCAGACGTTGACTCTTCGGTACTGTCATCCTCTGCCGCTGCAGCTACCGCAGCGGTGGCAGCAGAGGCATCGCTGGCACTGCCACCACCCCTGCTGCCCAGACGCCTCTGCTCGCGCTTGCGCAGGGCGAGGGTCCAGGCCTTGACGTAGCGGCGGCTCCTGCCGGGCTCGCCGGAGCCGGAGCTGGAGTTTCTGTGCTGATTATCCCGACTCCAGGCGTCGATCCTCTCGACCTGGGTGCGCACCAGGTCGATCTGCACGAGGGGAAAGTTCTCGAAATTGCGGTACCGGACCCGCTGGTAGTGCTTGCGGCAGTAGTGAACCCACACCTCAGGGGGGATCATCATGGTGCACGACTTGTTGCGGCCGAAGAAGTGCGTGATGACCTTGCGGGGCTGAGCGTTCGTGTCGCAGTTCTCCGTGTACATGCAGCGGAGGGGGGAGGGCTGGCTCCCGGAAGAGACGGCCGCCTCGGGGGAATCGGGAGAGCTTCGGATCACCGACGGACCGTCGTGGTGGCGGACGTGGATGGTTGCCTCGGCAGCGGGAGACATGGAGGGGGAGGAGGAAACTCCTGGTTCCGAGGCCCTTGCGTGCTCCATGACGCGGAGTTCGGCAGGCTCAGATGTGATGCTGCCGTAGCGACTTCCGTGGTGGCCAGAGTAGACGTGGTTCGGCACGGCGCTGTTGAGGACCGTTCCGGGAGGGGCAGACACGACCCTCTTGTGTGACTGGGACGAAACTGGGACGGATAAGCTGGGCACAGAAAGGGAGTCAGTCTCGTCTTGATCATGGGATAAATCAGTGTAAGCCAAAAAAAAAAGGGGGAGGGAAAAAATGAAGAGAAAAAATGAAGAGAAATTTAGAAATTGAAAGGAAAAAGTATTCAAGGGATCTTGGCTCTTGCTTAAAAACGCACAGAATAAAAGAGAGATGGCCGTTTTTCTTTCTTTTGTATATAGCCGGGGGGGGGGGAGTATAGTGGTGATGTATATGAAATCGGGAGGGAAGGAAGAAGGATGGCAAAGAAAGAAAGAAGAAGAGGAAAAAAGGGATGACTTCCTGACTTCCTCGGTATCTTCTTATAGAACCGGAGAGAAGCAACGGGGCTGACAGAAATTTTCTTTCATCGGCTGAACAGCTGTTTCCTTCTTCCCCTTCTCCCTCTTCATTCTCTACCTTCTCTACCTCCCATTGTGACAGGTTGCCCAGACTTATTCACGGCCCAAAAACCGTTCGTGAGTCAAGGTCACATAATGGAACAGCGAGCACTGACTGCCGACTTGCTCTCTCCACTTGGAGAGAAGGAAGGTGTCACTTGATGCTCGCAAACCATCCGCTATCTGGCAATGTGATGTATGGGCATGTGAACGAGTTTTGTTTTGTTTTGTCTTGTTCTTTTCTTTCTTTCTTTCCTCTCTTCGACCACGGTCTGTATCTCATCGAGTATTTTGCAGCCCCTTTCGGGGTTCTCTCTTTTTTCTTCTTCTTCCCACACTCTGCTCTCTGTCTGGTTCTTCACAGTATAGTTCTGGACCCAAACCGAGGTTGAATAGGCAGAGACAATGGCAAGGCATATATAGGGAAATGGATGTGTGACATGTGAAGGAAATACTGTTCAATGGGAGAATAGCCCCCCCCTCACAGAAAAAAAAAAACACCCCAATGACCAAAAAGGAGGTGGGGGACGTAGAAACCGAAACAACAAGAGACAACAAAAGAAAAGAAAAGGGAAATAACGTACCTCGCTGCCGGCGGTATGGCATCCGACTGCTGCTTCCTGTGAGGCATCTTCCTTTTCTGTCCGGAAGTGGACCTTGTGCTCGTACTTGTGCTTGTGCTTGTACCACGTGTATGCGAGGCGACAGAGGCGACAGGAGAGGGAAGAAGATTTTTCTCATCCGACCGAGAAGAGGAGTAGGCGTGGTGGTGGTGATGGTGGTGCGGCGGCGGTGAGTGGTACACGGGGCTGGGGACAGCCGTAGAGGGAGGGACAGGAGGACCAGAGCATGACGCGTTCGAGTCGCCGGCCGCGGCTGCAACCGGACTGCTGGTGGCCGAGGCAATGGCGGGACGAGGCTGGCTGTTACTGCTGTAGCTGGACTCGTACTGTCTGGGAGGAGTAGAAGTTGTCGTCGGCGGAGAGGTCCTGGACCTGGACGGTGCTTCTGATGCCGAGGATGCGTACGATGATAGACTGCTCTGGCTCTTGGAGAGCTTGTGATGGGCGGGGTGGGAGAGGCTGCTACCGCTACCATATGCTGCTGCTGCTGCTGGGGCTGTCGCTGAAGAGGCTCCTCGGCTGGGCGGAGGAGAGGTCTGTTGTTGAGTAGAGGGAGTAGAGGTCGGTCTTGAGTCCAGGATCAGACCCCTCATCTGGCTGTGAGTAGTGACGGGGCTGTATCTGGGCTGTGACATGGGGCTGTGCTGCTGCCATACTGCCACTCCGCTTTTGTGGCTGTCTTGATGATGATGGCGATCTGATTGCTCTAGAATGGTGGAGAGTCGAGTGGCGGGGGAGGACGAGGTCAGAGGGTGGAGAGCCTGGTTTGGCGAGGAGGAACAGGAGCGTTGGACCTGAGCCTGGTCTGGAGAGTCGTTGAGGAGAGAAGAGACATTCATGATTGCTGGTTCCCGGGCGAAGGCCGTTTATTTCCCTACGACTCTTTTCTTCTCTCTTCTTCTTCCTTATTTTATGGTTATCCCTTGATTTCGAATGTGCCAGTATGGTGTGATGTTTGCTGTGTATCTGCGCGCGCGCGCGCGTGTGTGTGTGTGTATCTCGGCAGAAAACAATGTCGTCAGATTTCGGTAGGGCTATCGAGCCGTATATGGACGACACTTGTTTTCCCTTCCCAAGTTGAGTAAGAGGGAAGGATATATACCGATAGAATAGACGATTTGGATAAGAAGAAATGAATGAAGAAGAGGGGGGGGAAATGCCAAGAGAGAGAGAGAGAAGAAGGCAAGGCCAAAGGGTGGTAGGTCAATGGCACGCCGCAGACTCGGTCACACGTGAGGATGTGATGCAACGTCACGGGCAATGAACTGAATCGAAGGAAGAAGAGGGAAAAAAGGGTAGAGAGAGAGAGAGAGAGAGAGAGTAAAAGGTCAAGGTTGATCTACCGTATGTGACCGGGGCACTGGGTAGAAAAAAAGACTTGGCTTTCTTTTTTTATAGTAAGACATCAAAAGAATTTTTTTTTAAAAAAAGGCACAAGAGAAGAAGAAGGCTTGGTAATAACAATGAAGCCGGCGGGGGAGGG